TTATTTGACAGAGATACTGCGAGAGACGGAACACAAGTAGGGGGAGTGAGAGAGGGAGAAACAGGCTTCCCGCGGCGCAGGGAGCCTGATGCAGGGCTTGATCCCAGGACTCTGGGATCATGACCTGAGCTGAAGGCAGGCGCTTAATGACTGAGCCACCCAGGTGCCCCAATTCTTTTTCTTTTAATGCAGATTTATAGTATCATCTTACATATACTATTTTGCCTCTTGCTTTTTTTTTTTTTTTTAAAGATTTTATTTATTTGAGAGAGTGTGAGAGAGAGATCATGAGAAGGGGGGAGGGATAGAGGGAGAAGCAGACTCCCCGCTGAGCAGGGAGCCCAACGTGAGATTAGATTGCAGGACCCTGGGATCGTGACCTGAGCTGAAGGCAGACACTTCATCGACTGAGCCACCCAGGTGCCCTGCCTCTTGCTTTTTTATGCTTGACAATGTATTTTGGAGAGCTTTCCAAATAACCATATAAAAGCTTCCTCTCTCCAAAACTCTGAGGTTAAAAAAACATTTTTTTCAAGCTCCACTCCAACCCACAGATTCAGATCCTCAAATACTGGGGCCCAGGAATCTTTATTTTTAACAAGTTTAACAATTTTTTTTTTTTAAGATTTTATTTATTTATTTGACAGAGAGAGACACGGTGAGAGAGGGAACACAAGCAGGGGGAGTGGGAGAAGGAGAAGCAGACTTCCTGCGGAGCAGGGAGCCCGATGCGGGGCTCGATCCCAGGACCCTGGGATCATGACCTGAGCCGAAAGCAGACGCTTAACAACTGAGCCACCCAGGCGCCCCACAAGTTTAACAATTTTTAACAGGGGATTCCTAAGTATTTAAGCATAGCTTAGAGAACCCATGTTTGAGAACCATTATCTTAAGGTACATAATTAACATTGCTTGGCCTGGGAGAGCAAGAGTTTTCCTTTGGTTTATGGGTGGTAGTTCAGGTATTTTTATATTTTAGTGGGACTGAAAACATTTTATACAAAATCAGTTTCCCTTCCAAAAGACCATATCTAAGAACTCTCAATTTGCATATTAAAAGTTTTTTTTTTCCCATTTAGAATCTGTGTAATTCAGGCTGAAATCAGTGAATGCTCTTGTAAATCATCCAGAAATATTTTGTTTGAGGAAAGCTTTACATCAGAGACCTGTTTTTTTTTTTTTTTTTAAAGATTTTATTTATTTATTTGAGAGAGAGAATGAGAGAGAGAGAGAGCATGAGAGGGGGGAGGGTCAGAGGGAGAAGCAGACTCCCTGCTGAGCAGGGAGCCCGATGTGGGACTCGATCCCAGGACTCCAGGATCATGACCTGAGCCGAAGGCAGTCGCTTAACCAACTGAGCCACCCAGGCACCCCAGAGACCTGTTTTTAACTGTTGGATGATCTATTTGAAATTACAGTGTTTTTCTAAAGAGCTTGACTCTTGAGAAGTCAACAGTACATTGAAGTTGGCTCATAAGATGGGTTGTTAATTCATAACATATATTCTAGAGGCTCAGCTTTGGGGGCCTCCCTATTCCTAGGTCAAGTATATAGCAGTGTTGGGGTAGGTATGAAAAGCCACAAGATAAACATGGTAATGTTTCTGGAATATTATTTAATACTTCAGGAATTTGGGGGTAAATCATAGTTTTAAAAGTTAGAACAAGTACTTATGCATATATATCATGGAATAGAATGCAGTATTTGTACAAATTTTTAAGACATTTATGCTTGTAGCAACTTGTTTTAAGCTGTCCTAGGTAATCATGGACGTGTATTTGTTACCACTTGCTGCCAGGGGTATAGTTTGAAATGCGTATTTAAATTAAATTAAAAAAATTTAATTAAAACCAGTTTATTATTTCATGGAACAGTTACTGAATTTTAGTCTGTAATTTAGCTGTTCTGTAATGTACTATACAAATGAATTTCTGCTGAATAGGGTGATTGAGAGAATAATGTTAACAGAAAACTGAATAAAGTTATTTGTCAACCATCTAACAGATTAATAACATAAGAACAACAGTGTCCTGAGCCATTTTCATTTGGGCAACAATTTTGGGGGGGTTCATATATCCTGATTTTGTTCATAAATTTCTAGTTTCATAAGAAAATTTTTTTTTTAATTACTTATTTGAGAGAGAGAATGAGAGAGAGCACATGAGAGGGGGGAGGGTCAGAGGGAGAAGCAGACTCCCTGCTGAGCAGGGAGCCCGATGCGGGGCTAGATCCAGGGACTCCAGGATTATGACCCTAAGCCGAAGGCAGTCGCTTAATCAGCTGAGCCACCCAGGCGCCCTAGTCTCATAAGAAGATCTATTAGCCCTTTCTAGTAACCATGATACTTTTTTTTTTTTTAAACAAAACCCTTATGTTCGGGGCACCTGGGTGGCTCAATCGTTAAGCGTCTGCCTTCGGCTCGGGTTATGGTCCCGGGGTCCTGGGATCGAGCCCCACATCGGGCTCCCTGCTCCACGGGAGGCCTGCTTCTCCCTCTCCCGCTCCCCCTGCTTGTGTTCCCTCTCTCGCTGTTTTTCTCTCTGTCAAATAAATAAAATCGTTAAAAAAAAAAAAAAATCCTTATGTTCTAGTTTTAAAGGAAAGAATAGTTTGCTTTTTATTTCTTTGTGAAGAAATTTAAGGGATTGGGAATGAAGCTTAATCACTTATTCAGAATCAGGAAAGGTGACAGTGAAAAATCAGTGCCTCAATTTCCTTCTAAAGAGATTGGTTTTATAGAAAAGATTTTAAATTCTTTTGAATTTTTATTTTTTTAAGATTTTATTTATTTATTTGACAGAGA